AAGCTGAGTTTGTTTTGCACGAATCATGCGAAAGAATTGGAGTAAAAAAAGGAACGATTGTATCGGTGCATTTGGGGGATAATATTTTTAAAGCTTTTACGGGTATTTTTTCAGAGATGTCAAAGGATTTGCGGGTTTCACAAAATGTTGGCATTAGCAATGAATTACGACAATACGATAACCCGCAGATGCTTTAGCACTTCTACATTTGAAGGATAAATGATATATTTAATGACACACCTTACGAACGAATCAAAACAGTGGTTAATATCGTTCTTAAATTGTGCGACATAACTAATTTTTGGGATGCTGTTATTTGCATGCGCGAAGGTAATATAGTGATTCAACAACGCATGACGTGATTACTCCTTTGAGTATATTAATAAAATGTGTAGAGAATATATAGTTGTTGCTTCATTGCCGGCCATATTAACGTCGGTATTCACGCTATTCATAGAAGTCTCGCGACCGCATCGTGTCATTAAAATATCAAGGTCTCTTCTTTATTGAATCTTTGGATCGTTTTTATGATCCATAAAAGTTGTGGTTTTCGAATAACATTTAGTCTGACTCAGGTCGATCATTTTCTTTTTCTAGTACGACTTGCACGGTAGCAAGAATTCGTGAATTTTCTAAAAAGATGTCAGGATATTCATATATAGTTTATTATGTATAATTAAAATTATTTCCTATCAAATAATAATTTGATATTAATTAAACATAGTAGTTCTTTCTAATAATATGTCTATATTTTTTTTTAGGAAAATTTTTTAAATATATATTTTAAATTAAAAAAAAAAAAACATTTTCAAGTACCTATACATGAGTACATACGAATTTATCTTTTATATTATACGGATTTAAAAAAAACAGTTAAAGCAAAATGAATCTGAAATTTGTCAACCTTTAAAATAACGATACATATGGTATTTGACTGTTTTTTTTTTTCATTTAACTTTTATATTTTGGTATCGATGTCGAATAAACGACAAAATACCAATTTATTTTGGCGATTTACCCTAATTTTCTTAGTAAGAAGGAAGAATAATAGGTTTGATATACTAAGGTAACGAAATTCTGGCGTTTTAGCTATAGTACCAAGATAAAGAGCTCATATATTACGGTAAGAATAGGTGATTTATATTACGGCACCGGTTTTCGTGAAAGTCACAAAAGATGTTTCTTTAGACACTATCGTGTCTTTTCAACCGATTGGCCGTTATCCTACTATTGTATGCGTTTTATCATTTATTTATTGTATGTGTGTGTGTGTCTTATTCTTTTTACTTTACTAATTGTATTATATAATACATAGAAAATGCAAAACACCTTAGTTAAAAAAAACAATTTTGAATAAAGTTTTGCTTAACAAAAATTTAATTAGAAAGAAATCATTGGAAATAACAACATGGGTCGATATTCTAAAATATAATAAAAAAGTTTATGTCATGAAAACATAGAAAATAAATATTGATAAGATTAATATTGAAACATATAGTTAAAAAATATTTAGCAATTTATATTGTTTGATATTATTTAATTTGTATTTAATTTACATTACCGCGTAAAAAATCAATATTTGTTACGGATAATCAAAACCAACTATAAAATATATCCCAATAAAATATTTACGAGGGAATATATGTCAACAATAAATGTAAATATCTGCAGAATTTTATTTTAAAAATTCAAAGCCGATCACAAATCAAAAAATAAAAGAATATATACATTTCAATGAATTAATCGAAATATCTTTTAATTAATTGATGTTTGTGTTTGATTAATCTATTTAATTACAATCTAAATTGCCCGAAAAATATTAAATTAAATCCAAAAATACTGATTACGTATTATCATAAATGTATGTAATTAAAGTTGTATATGTACATAGAAGCTCTCAATACTAATCAATTTTCTTGTGATATATATTTAATTCTGATTTTATTATTTAATTAGCTTATGCTTATTATTTAAATTGGTGTATCTTTGTTCTAGTGTCTTTATCCGACGAAACATAGCTTCATATAGTGTACCTACCTAATTAATATGCTGTAGCAGTCTTACACATAAAAGCGTGAAACTAAAAAATTTATAAATATTTATGACACACTGGAGACATACAGAAACTCTCATCTTTCGCAGCATGAAATTTTTCTGATTCATACTGTATGATAAATGCAATTCATTTTGCATGTTTAATAAAGTGTATATTACGAGAAAGATTCTAGATGCAATATTACATACTTAAACTATATCGCAAAGCTTTGTGATTTACTTTGAACTTATGGAGAAAAAATTACGAATGCCATCATACATGTAAAATGACAGAAAAATAACTAGAAGAAGACACATCGAAACAATGCATGACCTAATTTCGAATAAGCATCAATTATCTAGATAAAAACAAGAATGATATATGCAATGTCCGATAAAATTTGTTTATCAGTATTTTGGCGTATCTCATATTTCGCGAAAAGTGTTTAATTTCAGATTGCAATCAAACGCGACATTGCGTGCGATCATGTTCTCGTGTGTTAAAAGCATGCTTTAATTTATCGATGGCATTGCTCATAAAAAACGGAGCACTAACGGAATCGGTATTTTACCGCTTTACTGTGGAATCGTGCGCGTGTACTTCTCTCGAAATAGTAGTACGGAATTAACCACGGACAACCACACCAGGAAGTCATATTTTAGTACCCGATGCAGTTCCGTGGCAATCAAATTTTTCCATGCGCGTCCTATGAACTCCCTACGGTTGGCGTATTTTGACGGAAATTTAACCAATCTGTTGAAAGTATACACAAACAAACTTCTATGATTCTGTAAATGCTTTCCACGTTTACGAATTGGAACTGAGTTTTAAGAATCTAAATTTGTTCAGTATATATTCAGCTTTCGTATATATGTATATTAATGTTAATAATATTAATACGTTGATATAACAAATTATTTTTTCTTTATAGGTATTTGTGATGAATTATTTTATTAAACTCAAATTCAGTTTCCTAAATATTATATATAATAATAAATTATTATAACAAACGCGACGGATAAGTGTATGATGATAACTTATGCAACGTTTGAACAAGAATATCTATAATAATTATTTCTATAATTCAGTATAAGAGTCGTAAAAAATCAGAAACGAAGTATTTTTTGTAAATGAAAAATATTATCGATAATAATTATTGTAATAATAATTATTGTAAGAAGTTAACCAATTATATAGGGATATTTCAAACTAAATTAAAGTGCACGAGCGTAAATGATATATCAGTTATACTGATTCCAATATTTTCAAGATACGAAAGAGAAATGTCGTGAACTACCGAGAAGATTGATTCGCGAAGAACGATATTACCGTAAGCATCTTCTGTATCTCTCTAAAAATACCGAATGAAGTTCAACATCTAACCAAGTTTCAAACTTTACTTTCAAACTAAAATTAATATTACAACCATATTGTTGCTTCTAATATTATATTACGTTATTCTGCATTATAACGTGGAAAATTTCAGATTCGTATCTATCCTGAATTATGAAAATATCAATAGTTGTTGAATAACATAATTTTGAAGTGTTAAATTTAAAAAAATTACAAAACAAGATATACAAGTAAGAGACGCTAATTGTAGGATTTAAAATGTTATAATCTTTTTGTCTTCAAATATCGGACATTAATCCAATTAATTGAAACGAATGTTTGGACTACCGCGGATTTTTACCTAAACATTGTATAATCACGAAGCGATTTCTTTAAATTACTTATGGCCTCGAGATCAATAATTACCAATGAATGATATAGATATGAGACATTTACTCATCTTTATAAATTCGAAATGGTAATCAAACACGTTCAACAAACTTTACATATTGCATTGCCGTTTGATGTTGACGTACCTAAATTTTGACACAGCTATTCCATCGGATATATAAAAGATATGCTTTCATATTATCATAAAATTTTGAAAAGTGAAAAATTGAATGTTTGCGTGATGAAATAGATTCTCTTGTTAAAGAAATAAGAGGACCCGGTTCTATTAACTTGTATTTTTACACTGAGAGAAAAATATACTAAATTTTAATAAATAATTGTTTGAATAATACTTATAAAGCATTTATTTACGGAACATGAATATTTGCTAAATAAAAAATTATATTAATTAAATTAAATTAATGTTCTTTGTACCATATATACATGTTAGTATTTAAGAAATATTTAATTGGCACAAATATTTATTAAAATCCAGTACATTTCTTCTCAGTATAGTATATTTTTTATCAGAATAAACTTCTTTAAATATTAACTTTGTGTGTAATTATATCATATTAATCAGCTTTAAGATTATATTTTATTATTATTAATTAATATATTTCTTCGTGATTTATTAAATTGTTTTTAAAAATCTAATAAAATTAAAAAATTGGAGATAGAGTTTTTATATCAGTTTTTAATTTCAATTTTTTTTCTAGTCTAGATTTAAAATAATAAGAGATCGTAAAAACAAGATTTCAAAAGTTGGTATTAAAAAAATGGAAAGATATAAATAAAATAAAAAGTATTTAATAATCTGTGAGAGATGTAGACAGTAGTCTTGTGTATTTAGTCACGCTGTAGAGATAGAACGTGAAATGATAGAATCAGCCAAACTATGGCAGATTGACTGACGTCGTTCTGTATCTACTAAAACGTTAACATCTGAGAAAATGCATTGCGCTCGGATCGTCGATCATTGCGATCGGTAGCTTGATTTGACGTTCACCTTGAGAAAGAGACAGAATGCTTTGCGCAAAGTCAAAGGAACTACTAAATTTCATGTGTCGTAACCAGTGGGTTCTCTGCTTTCTCTATCCTGTCAAAGGACGAAACTGGTCTTGTCCGATTATACTAGTTTGACTTATTCATTGAGTGTCCTTTGAATCTTCTATTACTATTAATATTATATTCTACTTTCAAGAATAATTTTGTAAATAGAAACTATGTTTTTATTTTTCAGAAATTCCAGTCGTCGGGTCATACGCGATCGAAAGCTGACTGATGTTTATCCAATATACGTGCTTCTAAATGGTAATATTATAATTCAAAATAATATAAATATTACAAATATATATACATAGATATTCGCTAAGATTCTCGCAAGTGCTTTGATACGCGTATATCTGCATATATAGAAGCTCGATTTAATAACTAAAACAGGCGTCTAAGGTAGGCTTCCACTACAATGCCTTACTGATGAGTCCAGTAGTGGAAGTTGGGACGAAACGCCATAATTACGTGATATTCTTCGCAATATATTAGATTGATTTAAAGATTTTAATGAAAATTGGCTCATTGCCCTTATTTCATTATATTAGTTGTTTAATACTTATTGAGCCTTATCATAAATATATATATATGTATATATATAATATATATATATAATATATACATATATATATTTAAAACTAATAAGAGAACAGGGCTACGAGCTATAGATTCATTAAA